TCTTGGCACCAACTTTTTGTCTTTGTCTCGCAGGAGCTCTTGAGCGCTTCAAATTAGACGACAGTGATTAGGATACCTTGACGGGCATCTACCGCCAATCTTCTTCATCCTGTGATTTCGATCAATCGATCCTCTCCAGCCGATTTTTTGAAGAATTTTGTCTAATGGCCCGAAGAGGTATAACTTAGGCCTTATTACTTTTAACTTAGTTTCCGTACATTCGCTAGTGTCTGACCTTGTAATTTTTATTGTAGAAAACTTCGCAAATGTGAGGCACCCCACTCCCGACATGGCCACCATCCTGGCGGCCTCCACCACCTCAAGTTATAAGGGGATGAAGCCCTCATCTGTTGGAGAAAAATAGGTGAGGGATAAAATCGAAAGGGTCAGCAATGAGGTGCCAGCCAAGATGAAGGATTGCCTCCCTTAGCAGACAAGGGTAACAAGATGATGATGGAAGAGCCCAAGAAAAAAAAATTAGAGTGTCCACCACCGGAGTGGGTAGTTCCAACAATGTTTCTCTCCTTCGTTTAAGGTGCTTGTGGGGGAGAAGTTGATGGCAGCATCAATAGCTACAGCTTCTGGGGGCAGAAGAGGCCACCTGTCGTGGAGCCCCAGAGACAAGATCCTGCCAAGAAGTCGAGGACTTCAACAAACTCCACCGCCTCTGAACTCCCAAAAGGAAAATCGGCCCTGGCCAAAAGGACCGATGAGCTTGAATCTAAGGCTCTTGCCCTTCTTCCTCCGAAAATTCAAACTGCCTTAACATTTCATAAGTATTGGATGGAGAAGTGGCAAACCTTCGTAGAAAAGAGCGATGTCGTCTACGTCGTGGCCACGATGGTGGCCCAGTCGGGGAGGTCATTTAGGATGGCCATAGAGGTTGAAGCCCTATTTAAAAACCTTCAAAGTAAGAACCAGGGGTTCACCAATAAAGACTCTCAGGCCGAGGAGGTTTCCAGGAAAGCTAAGGCAGAAGTGGAGGCCTTGAAGAAACAACAATATAAGGAGTCAATGAAGCTCGCCTCTGCCTTAACAGTGATTGAATCTTTGAAGAAGGAGGTCAACCTATCTCAGAGCGAGGTAGCATCCCTTACCAAGAAGTAGAGACTTCTAATGCACATCAGAAGCTAGCAGCTATGGCCTTGGAGAAGGCCAATAAGGAGAACTCTATTTTGAAAGGGCAGGTGGGGGAGTTGACTTCCCAAGTCGCTGGCCTAACTAAGGAAGTGGAGAGTATCAAGAGTGATGTTGAATTGGCCAGCTGTGATGCTGAGAAGACGTTCCTAGCCAACTTCTATTTGACCGAGGTGTATCAAAGGTTTGCCAGTAACATGCCTTTTCTAGGTTGAACCTCTTCATAGACACGATAGGTGCCCTCCCAATTTAGACCTAAGGTTTTGGAGCCATGCTCTTTAAAGGATGGGAACATCATTCGAAGCACCAATTCGTTCAAATGATTCAAATGAAATGACTTCTTTTTTCACTTTCGAATTGTAGTACCTGGTCAATTTTCTTTAATACACGACCAATTTTGTTTAAGAATTGTCCCTTCTTTCTTCAAGGAGGTCAAGCTCGCACCTCCTCATTTCTTCATTAGTTATTTCATTGAAATACATTTATCGAGGAAATGACAGATCTACTTCAATAGGGCTCATAGCCTCGGACCCATAGGCCATAGAAAATGGGGTCTCTCCCGTAGCTGTTCTACTTATAGCTGTGATAGCCCAAAGCACTTGAGGTAGTTCATCGAACCAAACTCCTTTTGTTGCATCCAGTTTCCTTTTTAGTGTATACTTGATCCTTTTGTTAACAGTCTCAACCTGTCCATTTGCCAGGGGTGATGAGGGGAGGAAAATGCTTCTTGATGCCCAGTTCTTCACACATGTTTCTAACTATGGGTGGGCAATGGGTCGAGTCGGGTCGGGTTGAGTTTGGCCCAAAATCGACCCGACCCGATATACCCGATTTTAGGCCCTTTCACAAATCGACCCGACCCGGGTCCAATCCTAAGTCGACCCCACCCGATTTGGGTCGGGTCGGGTCTATTTTTCCATGTTTCCAAAACATATTGACAAAGGAAAATGGAACGAAATATGTATTCATTGCACCAAACAAAAGCCATTAAAAATGTAAAACAAAAAACAAAAACCTCTTAATTTCGTAAATTTTACCTCTAGGATTTGGGAAGAAAAACATTTTAGGCTTACTGCTACAACCATTTCGAATTGGTCTTGAATAGCCACCTTAAGTACCATCAATTTTACCACATTTGTTGCTCACATCAGCATCTTTGCTAAGCTAAGGCCATTCCTTGGTACCTGTCTCATCATTACTAAGATTTGTCGACCCACTTTTTGGCCCAATCAATTTATGTGCTCGCTACATCTCCGGTGATGCACTGCTTCTTTACGTAGATGTATAATAATGATGGAAGATCCCATTAATGTCTCCATTATATCAACAGGGTCACTTTGTTTGCACAAATTCCACATCCCAAACTTCTTCTATACTTTATTAATGGATATTTTGGAGAAATTAAGAGTTTTGTTGGTTTCACTTGTTTCACCAGTTTCACCAACGAAAAGGGATCGAAGAGGACTACTCTGTATTTCGCTGGTTTCATTGAATAATAGGGTTTGAATAAGTTGTGTCAGTTTTAGGCCAACCCGACCCGACCCACAATTATTTTAAATTTATTTTACCCGACCCAACCCGAATTTATCCCTAAACCCTATTTCTAACCTCCTTATTGTCAAACTGTCTGACATTTTCTGATATAATCGAATGGAGAATTTTGAACCTGTAAATGATGTTCGTCCATAAGAACTTGGAAGTGTTGGTCTCAGTGATTTTGGCAAGTGACTCGGCTTCTACCCATTTGGTGAAGTAATCAATGGCAACAATTGCGAAGCTAAAGTTTCATCTCCCTTTGGAAAGAGGTCCTATAAGATCAATTCCCCATTTTGTAAATGGCCAAGGGCTGGATACAACATTCAACTCTTAAGAATGCTGCCTTTGAATAGTAGCGAAATGCTGACACTTGTCACATTTTTTAACAAATTGCATCGTATCCTTTTTCAAGGTGGGCCAGTAGTATCCCTATTTTAGCACTTTCTGTGCTAAGGACCACCCTCCGGTGTGGTTCCCACATAACCATTCATGGATCTCCTAGAGTACATAATTTGTTTGCTCTCCTCCAATGCATCTGAGCAAGGACAGTGAGAACCCACGTTTGCATAGTACATCATCTTGCAAGACGTAGTGGACAGCTCTCCTCGGAGAAGGGTTTGGTCTGTGAGAAAATATATTATTAGCTTCATCCAAGCTAGAGTGTCTTCAACCCATATAACAGTTTCGCTAGTGACAATAGAAGGTCCAGAAAGATGCTCTATAGGCAACGAATATGAGCAGTTCGAAATCTTTACTGCTTACTAATTTAGACAGTGCGTTAGCATGGACATTCTTAGTGCGTAGGATTCGTACCAGTTTGAACCTTTTCAAGGAAGGGATGAAGTCCATAACCAATTTCAGGTATGCTACCATAGACTTATCCCTGGCTGAAAAATTACCATGAACCTAACTTACTACTAGTTGGGAGTCACTGCTGATGATGAGTATCTTTGCTTGCATTTCTTTGGCTAACCTTAGGCCAGTGAGGAGGGCCTCGTATTCTGGTATATTGTTGGTGGCTTTGAACTTGAATCTCACAGAACATGTAAGCTTATGTCTTTCTGGAAGGACTAAAACAACCCCTGCTTCCTACCCTGTCTCTCCTGAGGATCCATCAACTGATAGACTCCAAATTGGAGGTTCGACGGGTTCCATTTCTTCTTTCATTTTCGGGATGAGAGTGAATTCTACTACAAAATCTGCTAGGGCCTGGCCCTTAATGGCACCACTTGGCTTAAAAACAATGTCAAACTCACTAAGTTCCACAGTCCACTTCAGCAACCTTCCTGAAAGATCAGGCTTCTGCAGCACCTGCTTGAGGAGGAAGTTTGTCAACACACGTATACTATGGGCTTGGAAATATGGCCTCAATTTTCTTGAGGCAACCACCAAAGAAAGGGATAATTTTTCCATGTCCGGATAGCGAGTCTTTGCTGCCGAGTGCTTTACTGATGTAGCATACGGGCATCTGGTGACTATTCTCTTCTCTTATCAAGACTGACCTGATGGCCTAAGAAGTTACTGCCAAGTACAACTACAGTGGCTCGTGGTCCCTAGGTTTAGAGATGGGAGGCCTATCCTAAGTGCTTCTTCAGCTCTTGTAAGGCTACCTCACACTCTTCAGTCCACTGAAACTTGTTTCCTTCGAGGATTTTAAAGAAAGGTAGGCACTTGTCTGTTGCCTTGAAGACGGAGCGGTTCAAGGTTGTTACTCATCTAGTGAGGTTTTGTACCTCTTTCGATTTTTGAGGTGAACTCATTTCAATTAAAGCTTTGACATTTTCAGGTTCACGTCAATGCCTCTTTGGTTGACGATGTAGCCCAAGAACTTTCCTGAAGAAACTCTAAAGGCATATTTTAAAAGATTGAACTTCATCTGATATCTTCTCAAAATTTGGAAGGTCTCATTAAGATTTTTAACATGATTCTTTGCTTTTAGGCTGTTCACCAGCTTGTCGTCCATGTAGACCTCCATAGTCTTTACAATGAGGTCGGCGAACATTTTATTGACAAGTCTTTGGTAGGTAGCTCCTGTTTCAACTCGAAAGGCATGACCTCATAGCAATAAAGACCATTGTCCATGATGAAGGAGGTATGCTCCTCATCTACTGGGAACATTGAGATCTAATTGTATCCAGAATATGCATCCATGAAGCTAAGAAGTTCATGCCCCGCAATTAAGTCCACAAGTTGTTCTATTCTGGGAAGTGGGAAGCTATCCTTTAGACGACTTGGTATAAATTTGAAAAGTCTATACAAACCATCCACTTCCCGTTGTGCTTTTTGACGAATACCGGGTTTGAGACCAACTTAGGATATATTGATTCCTAGATAAATCCATCGTCGATTAGCTTCTTAACTTCATCTTTTAAAACTTCATACCTTTCAGGGTTGAGAGCTCTTCTTTTTTGCCTATGGGCTACAACCTTTGGGTCGATGTTCAAATGGTGGCAACTGATCTTTGGTTCAATGCCTACCATATCGCCATGTTTCCAGGTGAACACATCAAGATGTTTTAGTAAGAAGCTTTTCAGCTCCTCATTTGCTTCTATTGGCAGATTTCTTCCAACCTGCAAGTGCTTGGAGGGATCTTGTGGGTCTACTGAGAAGCTCTCCAGCTCCTCCATAGGTGATGTTTGAGGTTTGCAATCAATAATGCGAGGGTCTAGCTCGTCCAAGTTAACTGCTTCTTCTGCAACCCTCCATTCTTCAAGGGTGGTCTGTTTTTCATGAACCGCCTCTTCTTTAGAGCTCTGAGCAATATAAATACCAATAATCAATAATCGAATGACCATTATGATATCGATACAGTCGAGTAGACCATCCTCTTGAGACCACCAGAAGTACATCCCCTGACTGGCCTTATGATCACCCAAGAAATATCCCACTCGTGGTGTCAATAATCATACTATCACAAAGGTATAGTCAAGTGGTCCACTCTCCCATGATCACCAAATGTACATTCCCTATCTACCCTTGCGATCACCCAAGAAGTCTCACCTGCGATGCCAAAACATATCATATAAATATATTTCACATCCATCGATACCCTAGTAGTGGTCGATAAAATATTTTATAATGTAAATTCATTTTTCCAATCATGTCGTGGATGCTATATTTTTTTAACGATCAAATGCCATGCATGCAAGTGCAAAATGCTCGTGAATGATCTCCTTATCAAGGTCATATAAATGTTACAACAATACTCTATAGAGAATATTTCACAAATACTATGTTGTTGCAACGTAGTTATAAATGGATTTTTTACTTACCTTTTTGTCTTTGTGTGTAATCTTTCTATAGGATATGGGTCAAGTCCCCTTTGCACCTAAAGTCGGAAAGCAACTTGTATTACCATCTAATACTAATCATGATCCCAAATTTGATACTATTAACTCACACCCAATTTCCATACTAAGACCTTAGATGCCAACATATTCTAGATTAACACTACAAGTAACTAGCCGTATAACTCCAGTTATTCTAGCAATTTCAATGAATATAAACATCATTTAATTGGATTATTAATGTCGTAATACTCATTCAAATCAATTTTTCCTAGCTTTAGAGGCGATTAGCGATCACATAAAGGTGGAACTATATGAAATCTTAAGATGAACAGAATCTGTTTTTCAATTTCTATTGCTGCCATGTTCACTTTCCGACCTCCTTTTGTACCCTTAATCACATCAATCAATTCCCAAAATTTTACCAAGCTTATATAACATATATGTACAGTTAAATATGTCATTAATTCACCACAAGCAATCGATTTACAGCCTAAAAATCAATCTCTTTTATAGAACACCGAATTAAGAATTTTATTGCGGCTGTCTTGAGCTTCACTTGATTTAACATACCACAACTCAGATTCTAACCCGTTAAAGATCATTTATATACTTCTAACTCTTTAATAGGAAGATGTGACGTTACACATCAATTTAATTCAATTGTAATCCTAGAATCTAAACTTCCTATAATACATTCACACTCTTTTTATTGGAATAAGATCAATAATCGACCATATATATCAAGCAGAAGGCAGTAATCAATCCACCAATAAAGTAAAATTCAACAAATAGTTCAATCATTCGATAGAAGTAGCATGATTGGATCTATGAAGAATTTTATAAATGTTAAACCAATCTCAACATAAAGTAATTGAAATTGAAACTCAATAAATAGTTCAATTCTTCAATGGAAAAATCATGACTGAATCCATGAAAAATATAGTAAAGGTTAAGCCAATTCCAAAATATTCATGAAAAGAAAATCTAAATCCTAGAATTGTTTGACAATGAAAAATCAAATTACATGAATAAAAGATGCAAAATCACCAATTCCGATTGAGTTCCTTCCTAATTTCACCAAGATTTTTTAGTTCTTCATGGAGATTCTTGAGCCGAAGATGAGATAAAATAGTATGGAGGAGTTCTCTATCTTTTTCCCCGTGTTTAGGGTTTCAAAACATGTATGTATAGTTGTTTCCATAAATGGTTGAACTAAATTCGAAAACCTGAATTTTTGTCTCGGAAATACTCTATGCAACCTCATAGAATAAGTGGATGCATCCACATAAAACATTTTAACTTGGCCCTGGAATTCGCTGAAGATGCGGTCGCATTGAATTTAAGCTATGCGGTAGCAACCGTATAGCTTTAGATAACTTCCACATGATCGCCTTTGGTATTTTGGTCATATCTTTTTCTCTTGATATACAATTAGATGCATTGGAAAGATGACTCATGGGATTACAAGTATTTCAGAAATATAATTTTTCCAATTCAAACATTTTCTATGCCAAAAATGAGTCTCAAATTGAGACTGAAAATCCAAAGCAGAACTTTTTCGGCTGAGAGTTGATATGTGATAATACTTTGACTATATTCCATCCCTTTGGCTTATTTCCTCATCCAATTGATGCCTAACACTCCCAAATCTTCATATCTTCATTTTGTCTTCCAAGTCATCTGTTGGGTATTTACAATTTGATCCGTGAACTATTGTTTTCTTCCACTTTGATCCCTTTTCACTTATTTCTTCCAAATTTTGCTATATCCATCAAATTGCCACCTAAATCAAAATATAAAGATAATGAGTGCATTTTGGTACCAAATAATCACAGGAGAACAATAAATAAAAAGGAAAAAATATGATATTTTACACTCTTATCAGGTCACTTGGGGTTAACTTTAAGGGATAAATATCTTAGTAGGACTTATGTAAAGAGTATTAAATGGTTGGGGTCGTGATCCTTGCTTAAAGATTTAAGAAAATGTTGTATGTAGCCAAGTTAACAATAATCACAGGAGAATCACAGGAGAACAATAAATAAGAAGGAAAAAATATGATATTTTACACTCTTATCAGGTCACTTGGAGTTAACTTTAAGGGATAAATATCTTAGTAGGACTTATGTAAAGAGTATTAAATGGTTGGGGTCGTGATCCTTGCTTAAGGATTTAAGAAAATGTTGTATGTAGCCAAGTTAACAAGCATGAGGTGTGTTAAGAAGGATGTGGCTTCATGTAGCAAAATTTGACTTTTTCCTTATCTTATTTGGAGCCACATGTGACTTATAAGATATATATCTATCCTATATGAAGTACTAAGCGGTTTGGAGATGTGATGGAGGCCTGATGGTTGAAGGAATTGGATGTTAAAATGACAAAGCACCAAGCATTAAGTAAGAGGTGTCTTCTTTTAATTAAAATCTGATTTTTGTACCCATCCTCGGAGGAGTTATATATAACTTAGGAGATAAGATACTACATGTATGAAGTCTTCGAAGACTTTTAGGCATGAGTAATGCTTAGGAATGAAAGAATTGACCATTATAAGGACAAATCAACCAGCATAAGGTGTACTAAGCGTGATGTGTTCTCTTGTTGTAGAAACCTGATTTTCCATCTATCTTCGCAGGTACAAATCAAGTATCCTTGACTTATTTTAGTGTGTCTACGACCTAATTTAATTGCCATAAGATCCTAAAATAATTTATAGAGTTAATTCCTTACCCAGTCCTTTGATTCCTTACCCGATTGGCGCGATTCTTTCTTCAACAATTTGCACCTCAATATTTATAATGTCACACGAATCTTATATTATTGTATTGTAATCATGTCACTTCATGCCTAATGTCACAAATATGTTAAAGACTTAGGGTTTATGGTAACCATGATTAACCGAATTAAAAGTGTGTAACGTTAACGATAATTTCCAATACTTTCAAGATTACAATTGTTTAACACATCAATATTCAACATCTAGATTAACCTAAATTTCTACCATAACTCAATGTAAGATTCACCACCTAGGTCAGGGGGTTCATATAGAAATCTTAAAATCTCAATAATCAAATGCACCATAATAAGAGAAAACTATTTTGAACTATTGATGCAAATGCAATGGCAATGTAAATAGAAAGTAATGCATGAATCATATTGTCGAAGTGCGTAAAGTGAAGTTTGGGTATTACATCTTGATTAAAGAATTAAAGGTAATCAATAAATGAAATTGTGTTCCCTAATATTCATCTCATATTTTAAAAACCTAATTTGATTTTTGTGTGCATTTAGATACATTCAACTTGTTAGAAATAGTTAGATCAACAATCATCAAACTATTGTTTGTTTTCATGGGAATGATTATACGGACTCAATGGTCCATTATATACTTGTTGAATATCGTACATGATCCTTTGAAAACTCGCAAGTGCACAGTATCGTGGTTAAGTGATATAATGATGAGTAGACTGTCGAACCTACGAGAACTATGTGTTTGACCAAATTAAGATTAATTGCAACTTTAATCGAATAGCAAACAAGTTGTGATTTTTCTATATTAATCCCTAAATTATCAAGTAAACTAATGAAAGAAAGTAAATGAGTTTTTCAAATATGTGAGATGCATCACAAAAATGTCGAATCTCTCTTGTTATTCCATTTAAGTTAACAATTAAAGTGACAATTAATTGAAAGCCTCTTTTGATAGCGATCAAATATATTCCCCTCAATCTCTCGATGAATGATGCAAACATCATAAATGCATTAATAAGTTATAAAACACCTCTTGAAACTATATAAAGTATAGATGTATATCTCTATTCAAAAGTTATAAAACACCTCTTGAAACTATATAAAGTATAGATGTATATCTCTATTCTCTATCGAATCTTACAATATTTATTATATTATAATTATACTCTATTGTCTCTCTCGATAACAATAAAATTCACTAACAATTCACTTGGTAATCAAGCAATTGAAAATAGCGACAAAATGATAATGAACATTCACAAATCAAATCAAATCAAATTAAAGTCAAAATAATTAATTAAAAACTAAAAATATCATAATAAGAGTTCATGTCATCCTAACAATGTATAAAACTAGTCTAGCATATTGGAATTACAAGAAATCATGTTAAATGTATAGAAAAACACCCGAAATTATGAATTAATGAATGAAGGAAGAAGGATATTGATGTAATTGAGATTATTCATACAAGAAATCATGTTAAATGTATAGAAGATCACTCGGAATTGTGAATTAATAAATGAAGGAAGATGAAGGTTATTGAATTTGTTCAAAGCAATCTTAAAAAATTTTCAGTAATTATTTTGCTTCTTTGCCCACAATTCACAAGTTTAATATTCAACTGATGAGTTCTTGAATTTTGCTTTTGAAATCTTCTCAAAATATATGATTTTCCCTTTTTGTGATAAAAATTGATGGAAAATTGTGGTATGAGATGTACATGAGAGGCATTTAATATGTATTATGTTGTTAGGTATTTGTATGAGTAGAAAATTGGTTGAAAATTATGCCCAAATTAGTTTCCAACAGAGTTCCAATCCAAAAAGGAAAGTTGCCTTCGCTCGCTCATGTATTTTCCCTCTGCACAATCGTCAGTATTTTGGTCATAATACATGTGTTGGAAAACTAACTCAAAGAGATACAATTTTGCGAAAAGTAGAATTTTCCCAATTCGAACATTTATTATGCCAAAAATAGATCTTAATCTTCAACTAAAAATCTGGAATATAATTTGTGCGTTTAAAAATTGATTTGTAATAATATTTTGATCGTATTACATTCCTTTTTGACTTTCTAATTGCTTCTAGCAATTTTCAAAGTATCGTCTTATGATTCGAATCAACTATTGAATATTTTCAGTTTGATCCTCAAACTTTGGACTTCATCATTTCTCACCATTTTTTGCTTCTTTTTTCCAATTTTTCGTTCAACATTTAGTGTATGTATACAACATAAAATATAGCAATTTAGGATATATTTTGTAAAAAGAACTATCAAATATCATTATTTTAGGCCTCAAATAAGTATATTAAATACACTTATCAATTATACACTTATCAGTACGCTTGCAATAGAAAAAACGCAACACTGATGTTAAAACTGTTGTCTAGGTAAAAGCTTGTTTATAATATGTAATTCAAATTCAATAGAAATTCATACAGAGAACAAGATTGAAATAACTGAAGTTTTCTTTTCTTGTGCTAACATAATTGTATTGTATTATGAATTTTCAAACCCTAACAGTTTATTAATAAATGTCCAAGTGGGTTTAACCCGTCTCTTAAATTTATCCGGTCCAATATTTAATCAATCCAATTAATTAAATTTGGTCCATGAATTAATTAATTCGGCCTATTAACAAGCAACCAAATTAATTAATTGTTCAACACTAGTTAGTTAATTAATTGGTTAATTTCATTCTCCTAGTTCTCCTTTTCTGTGTGAGACATTAAATTCTCGATCACGATACCTAATGACGTGAACTATATAATCAAAATAGATAAATTAAAATACCCCTTTTTAATTTATCACCAATATACTTTCGTAGTTACAGATTGACATCTGAAAATGTGTCAGGACAATATATGTGACGTAAATTGTTACGTAGTATGATAAAACAAAACTTGTTCGTTTGTCGTGAAATTATAATCTTTTTGGTCAATATGATCCAATCAATTACAAGATATGGATATATGTCAATCTCAATTATCGATCATATCTTTCATCTCACTATTAATTCAATGTAAGTCAAAAACTCATTTTTGACTTATGAGTGCACATTGACCAAGGATTTCGTTATCAACTTAATTGAATGAAATGTAAATCATAATCCCTTACTATCTAAGAATAACAACTCTTCTATTGATGATTCACAACTTTTATATGATTCTTGACATACCTGAACGATGTTATATTAGCGACCATTGGCGGAATAACATTCAAATCAACAAAGTATGATCGTCCTTATATAAGGGATTATGATGACCTCAAGTCGAATGACCAATTCCACTATCGAACATTAGATATTAGCCACTGACATTTAAATGGCTATCCTTGTGGAATCTCCCCAATGGGCCTCCAATGTTTTGTTCTATAACAAAACTTTCACGTGTTCATTTAAGTATCACCGCATTTTAGTTTGTGAGATAAACTACTAACTTCCCAAGTAAGAAATGGTACACATGATGATCTATCTGTAATAACGATATTCGTATCTCGTTATTACTTACGATCATTGATGATTTAAAATTCAATCATATGTAATTTGCATCTTACAATTACAACTCCTCCTGATTAACAAATTACTAAAACTTAAATTTACAGACTCTATTATTTAATATAATTTATTAAAATAATAAAAAATAGATATTGCCAAAATAGATGTATTAAATATATTAAAAATGTTTACAGTATAAATCGATTGAATTTAGGGCATAACACTTGCAGACACAAATATAATAGAAAAACATGACATTTTTCACTTGCATTTGCCTTGAGAATGGATATATATATTCATAGCCGAACCTAAGGAGGGGCTCAAGAGACTGTCGCCTCAGGCCTAGCTCTTTAGGGAGCCCAAAATTTTTTTTGCTTCCTTCTTTATTTTAAAAACTCATAGTCATTTATACTCATTCACCTTTATTCGGTTGCTCCAAACAATGATGTTTCTTCAATATTGATATTGTAAATCACGGAACTAGAGTCTGGATTAAGAATACTCATTTCATTGTGTAACACCCCATCGGTATATATTTATGCATCACTACAAACATTTTTGTTGATTTGATCGTTTATTAACCCAAGTATTTTTAATTGCATTGATTGATGGATTTTATATATTTAATTGATTACTCTATAGTTTTGTCTCTAAATTCAATTATATTTTTCAATATCTTGTTAATCAGATCATTGATTTGTGCGTGCTATTGAATTTCTTTTCTTGGTCTATAATCCGTTATTAATTAATGTGAATTTGTGCCTTTTATGGAGTAATTGGGTGCAATATATGGTTAAATATGATGTGATTTCATTTTTTTAATTTTATTATGTTACATTATGAAAATATTTATAATCTTAGATGATATATCGTTATTGTTGTAATAATAATTTTTCTCAGTGAAGGATGTGTGCCATGTGCAAAGTGAAAAAGTGTGTAAAAGTTAACCATTTTTATAAATAAGAAGCCTATTTACTATTTTATGTGAAATTGAATTCATTATGAGTGTGAAGTGTATTTACCATACGCACGTAATGGAAAGAAATCTTCTCCCACTATAGCTAAGTTAGAAACATTGATAATTATTGATTATTTTTATTTTTATTTTTTTTCCTTTTTTGTTAATAGATTGTTTGGACACTTTATCTTATAATCATATTGTAGAATAGAAACAATTTTTTTTATTTTGTACTTGTAGAATGGAATATTTAGGAAGCAGCTAAAAGTCAAAGTAAGTCAAAAACCATACCGATTATAGTTGCATCAGCAGAAAAAAGTTTCTTCAACTTGAAATTAATCAAGATTTATCTCCGATCAACTTGTCACAACAAATATTGAATGAATTGGCCACGTTATCTATTAAAAATGAAATAGTTGAACAATTCGACTATTAAAAATTGATTAATATTTTTGTCTCTAAAACCACATGACGAGTTGTATTTAAGTGACCGTTTAAAATGTTTTCGCATTTTTATTTGATTGTAATATATATTTCATTTTGTTATTTTATTGTTGATTTTAAGTTAATAAATTTAGTTTCATAAAACTCTTCTAAATGAAAAAAAAAAAAAATTGATTACTTGTTACGATTTAAGAATCCAAATTCTGAAATTCGTCTCGGGCCTCGCGAAACACAGGTACGGCCCTGGATATATTATACAGTTCAACTGCTCAAAGTTCATCTTGTAATATATATACCCTTTTAACTTGTATATATATATATATATATGAATGTACAAGCATCTCAATCTCACATGCATAATCATCTCCCGAGAACTGAAACAAATACTTGCAAAATATGTCATATCACGAGTTGGGGAAAAAAATGGAAAAAAAAAAAAAAAAAGAGGATGAACTTCTCCAGTATAATTATGTTTCAACTTCTTCTTTGCCATCTTTGAGGTGGTCCTTGAGAGGTTGTCCGGAGATTTCCCAACTTCCAGAATTCCATGCAGTATCCGTTGCAGGCAATTCATAGTCATCGGGTTTCAGCGACAACTGGAACTCCGGAAGATCAGGCAAAATCTGAAGACCTCTGCATCATAATGATATTTACATGTTTAGAACATCTCCAGAAAAAAAGATGTCAGTAGGAAAGATGTATCAGTATCGAGCCCTTACTTCTCTTGATCCAAAAGGTAGCCATACATCTGTGATTTCTTGGATGCAGTTTCGGGGATTTTCTTGTGTAAATGCTTCATAGCACCCCATGGTGGAGGAACCCTTAAAGAAGAAATGGAGCAATGAAATGAGATTGATTGTGATAATGAATACAAAAACAAAGCAATGGCAGCATGTTTGGGAGGGAGGATTCGATAACAATGTACAGTATTAAAGAGGAAATCAAATTTATAGCCGATTTGTGTCCAATGTTGCAGGAGTGATATGTTTGGGACATTTAATGTAGAAGAATCTGCAACCAACCTAGTAACGGGATCTGCTAGACAAAAGGCTAGGCATGCCTTCTTGCTTTCTGCTAGTAGTTCTTCTGCAGCGAGGAAACAACACACAGCACTAATGTGGCAAGATGGTTCAGTGCCTTTGTCAAGAACAAGGCCATGATAGTAGTAAGCTGCAGCCTATTCAAGTCTTGAATTTGTTAGAATGCGGACAGAAGATACAACTGAATATTGTTAAAAAAAAAAAATTCAAAATCAGACAGAAAAATGAACCACCACCTTTGCTTCAAGATACTTGCATTTAAGGAACAAGAAGTGCTTCTTTCTAGATTTTCCATTATTATTACCTTCAGACAAACAGCGATGGGCCTGCGAGAAGGAATTAAGATATTATGTGTCCAAATAATAAAAAAACTTGAGATAGGCATACTTGCCTAGATGCAGATTCCTGTACGTAATGAGATAAGAATACGAATTTTGTAGTTGCCTAAAACAACGATAAACCAAGATGGTCCATTTACATATCAAAATCAATTGTGCCAATCCTCAATATCTACACTTGAAGTCAAACTCATTTTGTGCTTTCAAATTATATTCAATGGTCCTTGTATTTAAAAAAGCTTATACTACAAGAGAGCAAAGGTATTAGCATATTTATACCATTCAGTGTTGTGAAAACAATGTGCTACATGCTAAGGAGATAAATGCAGCAAAGATCATGTCAAGTAGATATCTTAAACATGTTTACCAGCCCAAAGTAGATCAGTAGTTCACATGCGAGCCTCCTCTTAACAGATAAAGTGGCATTCTGGCTTTGGACAGCTAAACCGAGCTGAAGTTCAGTTCCCTGAGATAATCATTCTAGGCATTGTGAATTTTCAAGCATAACTTGTGCCAAAAATCACTGAACTTAACAACAAAGCAACAGTTCAATTTGTATGTGTAATCTGGAATATATAATGCATAATTGAAATAGAACAAGGTGTCTGTATCTGCTCCATAATTGAAACAGAACAAGGTGTCTATATCTGCTCATGTGTGATTTAAGAAATGTATCAAAAGATACACCCAATGCACCTGATATGACCAACTCAATAACCATTCATCAATTTCGTTCTGTGGACCTACATTTAGTTCTTTTGAAGACTCAATATCAGGAAAAAGAATATTAAAATTCTTTCAACTCTTTCAGCTTGAGTTTGTGCTGACAGAACAATTTTTTGCTTAGTAGATACCTGCGCCAGTGCTTGATTTGAGATTGCCTCAAGGACACTCTCGTGCAAATATGTAGGCAACTTGTTCCTATTCATACAAAGATGATCCCATCAGTAATGGTGCATACACAAGGGTGTTCGAGTACAAAGACTTCAAAATGCTCTGAAACTAACTTTACATACTTCATATCAGGTGGTAACTGAGGAAGAACATTGTTCACACAAAAATCCATATATCCTGCTGCTTTCAACAATAAATCGACTGCATCTCGCATGCAATCTGCAAATACACATAGCTGATGATATGCATTCACTCAAAACTCTCTGTTGATTTGAAATTCGCAATGCTCATTGTGTTAGGGAAAGAAACCTGCAGATACGAGCCTCTCAGACAAGTTATTATCCTTAGGAATCAACTTAATGTTCGCCTCAGTCAATGTTAACATAGCAATCATGTGAAGAACAGATAGTAGTTCAAACCAGGAGTTTGCGACACAGATTTCCTACAAATTAACACAGTTACAAACATCAATTTTCAGTTCAATCAAATCAAATGACAGTTATTTCCTTGAGAAATTCTCACCTGACGGCCATCTTCTAAATCTTTCCATTTGAATTCTACCAATTCTTGAAGCCCATATTCTATTGATCAAGTCAATTTGTCAGATTCTGTACAGAGGCTATGGAGAATGCAAAGTGCTACTTATTATCACACATTCACAACCACTCCCCATTTATTAATCACAAATCTCGTGGGACCCCAGTATTATTCATCTTAAAAAGTTATTAATAATTCTACCCGCATACTCACATAATAACTAGAAAATGAATCAAAGCACAAACAGATTTATAGTATACCCATCAAGGGAAATGCATACAGTCCGACACAAACCTCTGTTAGTAAGGCCGAGAAGTAAAGACAAGTAGTCATTCAATGCCTTTTGTAATTCGCTGATAGCTGATCCACCTGAAGAAAAACTATCAACTTTAAAGATGCATAAAATTTGGTTAGCAAACAATTCAAGATCCAAAGGTCAAAATCTAACCAGTTTCCTCTGCAACTAACACAATCTGATTTCTCAATGAACTAATTCTATTAACAAGATCCTTGGGAATTAATCCTCTGAGTGTTTTCTGTAAATCAGATTGGACAGGAACACGCAGTGAGGGCACAAAAACAGTAACTTCCGAAATATTCTTCTTCCTGTTCTTCCCAACTGCAGATATGGAAATTGCGCACCCCATAATCGATTTTAATACATTGTCGCCTACACAAAAACTCTATATTTCAATCAAATGCAAGAAATAAAACAAAATAAGAAAAAAGTCGATTATAAGTGATTACACTTACTGATTTCTGACAGAAGGAAGAGAGCAGTGAAGCTGGGAGGATGAACGGGAGCTGTTCGTAGCGAAATCTAAGCTCGGGAACCGATAAATCAGTCACATGGCGAATCCGTAGGAAGAGATACTAGTTAGGAAGAGATACTAGTATAAAAGTAGGTTGGATTCCAACCACAGCACGGAATTGGATTATTTGTAGGCGGGGCGGTGAGCGACCTGCGGTTCAACTTTTTTTTTTTTTTTAAGTAGGTTCATCAATCTTCTGCTTTTTGGCATTTGACTTTTTTACGAGAAAGTTAACGATGATTTCATAGTACGTTTTACTTATTATAAATTATATTATTTGGTTTTCGAGAAATATTGCATGTGGGTCGTGTGATTTATGTTCCCATGCACACATATCACGAAATATATTCAACTTTGAGTACCACTGCTTTTCACTATAGTTTTCCGTTTTACCAGGTTTTGTGGGTAAATTTCATATAGCGGCCATTGAACTTTCAGAGAAATTTCAAGTGGGTCATTAAACTTTTATTTATCTCAATTGGATAATTGAACTTTAATTTAGTTTCAAATTGAGTTACTACACTTCAATTTGGTTCCAAATTTCACCACTTGATCACCTGTTGTCACTCGAATTCATGAAAACTACATAATTACATTGTTGGAGGTGATATACGACATCATATCTTCTACATAATAATTGTGTGGCAGGCCAACTTACGATTGCACCACATCATAAGATTATGATAAAAATTATGTATTTTAATATTTTAATCTAATGATACTGACAGAGTCATTTATTTTTTCACTTCCAAGTAACCACATAGCGATTCCATGAAATGTTAGTAATGTTATGCTTGTCAACGAAGCAATTTCTACCGGTTTGAGGTATAATAGGTAATGAAATGTCATAACCAGTGATATTTGAAGCTAAATAGGACTTCAATAACCTAATTGAGACAAATTAAAGCTTAGTGATTCAATTATAGTTTACTCAATAGAGGCCACAAACAACTACACGAATCTAGTACAAATACGATTTGGACTCGAAATCATCAACACCGCATCATATTGATAAGTCATAAGTGTATTTTACACGTTTATTATTGCTTTTATACTTAAAATTATTGCTAATTGAACGAATTTCTACCAATTTAGTGTAAATATATTAATTGTAGAAAAAATCCCACCTTGAACGCAATTGGTGAAGAAAGGCAATTTTGAGCGTAATCGAAGTTTATTTGGAACAATTGAATTCAACTAGATTATGCGTGATCAATAAGATAAAAGGGCAACATGAGCAAATTCATAATGTGTTGAAAGTTAAGTTCGATATTTCAAAAGTTCGAAGATTTAATTGCAAAATTTTAAAACTTGATATAGATCAATTTCAGACTATTGTGGATGAAGATTGAGCTGTAAAGATTGAAAGAATGATGAACAGATATGAAAGGACTCGAACTGAACAAAAGGACAAATTTGAAGACTAATGTGAATGAAATAGAAAAGTATACACCTTGCGATCAGAAGGTGTATGAGTTATTTCGAAAGGCGCAAGAAATTCTACGAGCAAGTCTAGAGTATATACATTACGATCACAGCTATATAGACCATGTGATCGCATGGTAGTTCCTGACAGTCCAGATTTTGCTTCCTAATTTGATTCAGTTTCTACATGAAGTTAGCACATGAGGTTTGACCTAAGTTTTTTGGAACTATAAATACATATCTTCACAATTCATTCAAGGGAGAGAAGCCTTAAATACAAAAGACATATTCTTAAATAAATTTCATACATTTTTGCTTGGATTTTGAAGAAGTAGGAGGAGATTCAAGAAGAAATTAGTTCCTGGTGACTTCTCTAAAAAGATTGCTTTCCACCTTTGATATGTGTATTTTGTACACTTATTTAGGCCATTAAAGTAAAGTATTTGTTAGTGATTTGGATGAGTTATAGCTTAATTTTATATTAATTATGTTTGTTAGGTTAATCACAATGCAAATTGGTGAATTTGGAAGAAAAGAATTAAAAACATGCGAAAACAAAGGAAATCCAAAGTTTGAGGACCAAAGTGTAAACGTTCAATAGTTGATTCGGAGCACAAAACGATGATTGAAGATCATATATGATCAATTTAATGCAATTGGAGGTAAAATGAGTGAAATATAGTGGAAGTATTTTCATAAATCAATTTGCAGTCGAAGAAGTTGTGCTCCGGATTTTTAGCCTTAACTTGAGATCCACTTTTCGGATAACAAACGTTCGAATTGGAAAGATTTTAATTCTAGAAGAATTGTATACCTTTGAATTACCTTTTCAAATCACTTTAAATCAGCTCCATCGGATATCTTTGGAGAACGTTATGACCAAAATACCGAAATTGGCTCAGAGACGAACCCTTGCACGCGGGGCACTATTTTCCCCAACCCGAAAGTCATTTAGTTCTACGGCATGCACGTAACAGTTATTCCAGTGACCGCAAACAGGCCTTTCTTGGAGATGAATATTTAGTTTTCTTTCACGATTCAAACTTTTTTGGAAACCAAATTGGACGCGATTTTAACCTATTTTCTAACTCTTATAAATAGAGAACGATGGCTACGCATAGAAAAACCTCTCTTGCCTATTCATACACCATAGTTTCATCAAATTCACCAAGAACAAGATGCCAATTACTATATTTTGATAGAAGAGATCAAGCCCTAGAAAGAAATTGAAGGTTAATTACATCAAAATTTTGAAGAATTCAACATTTGGCGTGAAGATCAATATCTTTTGATTTATTTCATGATCCGGGTGATATTTTCCTATTATTCTTCTTGTAATTTATATATTAACATATTAGGCTAGATATGTTTTTATATTGGATGGAGATGAACCCTATTTGTTATTTGTTTTAATTCAAGACTTGTAGTTTAATATATTTCTTGTGTTTGTTTATTAATTTTGCATACTCATTGCATTATTTAATTGATTGGCTATCAATTAGATAATTAGTTGCTTATTGTAGTGGTGGGAGACTCACATAAGTTTAGAACGCGACAAAATTAACATATGTACAATAGATGTTAGGAATAATATTTATCCATGTACAATCATATAGATAATCTAAACTTTAATGCATTCTAATCATTTGAATTCGAACTAGAAATAGATTTGGGTTGTGATTAGTATAGATTTAATTTGTCTTAGAAAAGAGAATTAATTACAATAGAATTATGGATTGCCAAGAATGTATGAAAGAAATTAAATTACAAATCAAGAATTGAAATAGATAACAATAAGCCGATTCAAGATTCAATAAAATCCTTCATAAATTGATAAAAACCACATTTTTACGGCTTTCTTAGATTAATTAAATATAAAATAAAATAAAACTCTCTTTTGTTTTCGTACTTCAAATCCCATAAAAAGTTAGTAAACTTGAATTAAATTTATTCCCTGTGGGACGATACTATCAACTCATCAATTCTATTACTTGTTAACAATCACATATGCTCGCGGGTTTTACACGAACAACCTTCTATCTAACTTTTATTCTCAAGCAATGTTGTATCAATTCTATTTATATTTTTATAATCTTAAGATTAGAGGTGTCAAAAAGGCCGAATAGCTCGTCAGATCGTCGAAGCTTGGTCCATAGACAACTCGGGCTCATTTCGGGACGAGCCCAAGCCGAGTAGGGGGGCTCATACGGCGAGCCGAGTAAGTTGAGCTCGCGAGTGGCTTGTGGTGATGAGAATCATGAAAGGCAAGGGAGCAATGATCCATTGCATGTTGAAGATGGAACAATGACAAGATCAAGAGCAAAGATGATCAAGAAAGTCATGCAAGGACTAGTCCAAGCTACGTATGCCAAGATTTCAAGTTCAACAAACAATACAAAAAATTTCAAATTGAGCATGAAAGAGGAACCAACCTTGGTGCTTTCATTCAATCAAAGGAAGAGGAACCAACCTTGGTGCTTTCATTCATTCAATCAAAGAATACGCAACATTCTTTAACATGAATTCCAAGATCTTTTCATGGTTGAATCACATTGTATTCCAAAGCTTCAAAATCTACAAAATCTACATTTCCTTGATCTCCAATGGTCCCAATCCCAATCACAATGGAAGTGGATTATTATCCACAATCTAAGTGTCAAATTTTGTAAAATTTCATGCCAAAAATATGGTTTTAAGGACTTTCCAATTTAAGTATAAAATTCCATACGAATTTTCACTCCATGTTTCATGTCTTCTTCTTCCCTCTATTTTTCAATTCATAATGAAATGGAGGTTTTTTGTGGGAGTTAATGGTAGTTGTAGGGAGTTGTGTTTGAATTTCAAATTCAAACTCCCTCCAACCCTTTTAATAACTTGTGGGTCGAGTCATCCCACACG